CATTGAAAAAATATATGTATGTGTTTTAATTAGGAAGAGAGGAAGAAGACGAGAGCTACGTGCGTTTGTGTAAGCACATGGATATGTATGGTTCATCAGCGGCGACGTGGGATCAGTTGTGCAAAAAAAATATCGTTCGAAGTAATTTTTCTTCTTCGATATAATTCTTGAATTTTAATTATATTTATTTCGTCTTCAAATATTAGCCTGATTTTATTATTTATTATTTATATCCTTTCCATTTCTTCAATTTGTTTCCTTATTTTCCGTCTTTTCTTATCTTTGTTTCTACAAGCGTTCTATGCGCTACGTTATCTTATCATCGATCACTGTTGTTGCCGCACATTCCACAGCGTGAAATATATACGAACAGGAGAGGTGCGTCTATCTAAGCGTGCTGTTAGTTAGCATCCGAAAATAATTCGGGTTTAACCCCCGAGAATTCGCAAGCCGCCGGAGAACGAACTTCCGGGCGTGTATGTACAAGCAACCGAGAAGTTACGGAACGTGTATTATGTAACATTATCGCGATCCGCGCACACCGGGATACCTGTCGCTTGCATCGCGTCGAAGCACAAATTTTAAACTCGGTTGATCGTACCGTGATAGAGTTTCGAAGAAACCGAGAGCCCTCGCGTTCATTTCAATTTCACCTTAATCTAAACTTTTACGATATATATGTACATGTATTTCTTTCTCTCTTTGCGTGGTGCGGTCGCGGGATGCGATAGCTTCACTCCTATGACAACTGAATTGGGAATTCTCGTCGGATATAAATATTCACGTTGTACTCGCGACGAGTATATATAAGAACAAGAATTTATAATTATTAATAAAATAAAACGTATAATATATAGGAACAGTCTAATAACACAGTTGTTAACAGCTAATCTACGATTAAAATCTATAAACTTGTTCTCACCACAGTAAGGCGGTTTAAATAAATCTTAGATAAATTAGGAATTAGTATCTATAAGAACAAAAAATATATTTTGAAGTAATACGCGGCAAATGGAAAGGTATTGAATGAATTTTCAATATATAAGAATATAAAAAAATATAAAATATATCTTTTTAGTTGGTAATAAGAGATATTCAATAATCGCTTCGAAAAATCACTGCGAACTTGAATATTCGCATGCAAAAAATGAATACTTTTTACTTCAGTATAAACACTCATTAATATAATACGAGATAATAACGATGGTCCAGAGATCAAGGGAACTAATACTACGGTGTAGACCTCTCTTACGATTTTATGATTTTCTCTTTTATGATTTTTCATTTAAGTTAGAGTCCTACGATGGGTTAACATTAATACATTTACTCTTATATTAATTAATCGTAATTACGCTACGTTTTTAATTATATTATAATTTACAGTTTACGCAATGTGTCATATTAAGTTAAGGGATTCAAGAGGATTCGGCAATTGTAGTACGAGATTGGTGCAAATTGGCGGTTCTCTCTTGCTTCTCCTTTTCTCTTTCGTTTTTTCTTCCAAAGTTCACAACACTCACTGCCGCTTACAAATAATACTGAATCTACTCAAAGTATTTTCAGCCGCACCCAAAGAGAGACTTCCTTATGCAGTATCGTGCGCAATATTCCGCGACATTTTTTACTCCTGATAATATTCACTTTAACATCGAATTAGCGAAATGTTAATAGCAGCAACAGTGCATATATCTAGCAATGATTTTTTTCTTGTAAGATTATCGACGAATTGCAAATTAGCTATAATTAACTCTTAAAGGAATCTTTTTCATTCACAAAATCAATAGAGATTTAATACGCTTGAATTTAATAGAATTCTGACTCTTAATAAATTTTAGAAAAATTTTTTTTAGAAATTTTCAAAATTTTTTATATGGAGAATATTTTGCGGTATTTTTTCGTCTCTAAATAATTAATAATCTGAATTTACAAATAAAAGATTCATTTAAACGTTAGCGACGTCGCATAATCGCAATCGTCACGTAAGTTTCAAGAAATTTTGTCGGCGATCGTGTATAAAACAGTTAGCGAATCGAAAATTTATTTTTGCATATTGCTCGACGATAAACACGCGCTCTCTTTGGGAATCAATAACAGTCTTTTACAAAGGTACGATCTTCTCGTTCCGATGCACCGGGGTATCGTACACGGGCACACACTTGTAATATTGAGGGGGATACGATGCATACGAGGCTTCCGAGGGTGATAAACGGCCGCGGAATCGGCTGCGCACGATGTGGATTATCAGTAGCAGACACAGTAGCGCGAGTACGACGATTAACGTAATCGGAACTGTGCCCCAGCCACGGCTGGTAATTTGATTAATCATGTCGTTTTCCTTAATCGGCTGAAACAAATGTGATAATGATAATTCTTAGATTACTTTCTTAGATTACTTTCTTTCAATAGATATTAATGATCATTTTTCACGATTCGAGCAAAATTCATGCGTTCGTAAATATTTCTAATATGTAATAGAGAAAGCAGTTATATTTAACATTAAAATGTATATAATGATAGTATCGTGTAGTATTAAGTATGGGAGTTAAGGGAATGTAAAACTCACTGTAATCGGACATATGGGGCAACAAGTGCCTGGTTTCGGTGGCAACGGATTAGTGCAGGCCACCGAGCAGATGGTTTCTTTGCAATTAAGTCGTCCACCAGGCTCGCAAGTGCATGTGTTGCAGCTGTTCGGGTACCAAGTCGATCCCTCCGGATGCGTCTCGTTTAAATGGTCCATGCACGAAGCTCGACAGCGGCATATCTGCGAAGAGAAATACATCAGTATTGTTTATTGTCATACAATATTTCAAAATGTGCAGCTTTTTGTTCTTATACTCTTGTATTTCAATTATTTTAATTTTAATTCACTCCATTGTTTTATTTTCATTTATTCCGCGTATAAAATAATACAAGGGAGCGTTGTACTCACAGGACAGCCGCGTTTATTCGTCTTGAAACCGAAGCTACACCTCTTCCTGCATCCGAGAAGCGGCGGACAGCTGGATGGTTTGCACTCGCAAAAGGTGCAGTCGTTTTCGTCCATAACAAGTTCGCAGTGAAGGTCGCACTTGACCTCAGGACAGATTTTTTTATCGTTCACGGTGTCCGGAGTGGTGACATTTGGCGAAGGATAACGCGATGGCGTCTGACAAGCGCACACAGAACAGCCGTCCTCATCCTTGACGAGATCGCAGTTCAGTCCACAGTGCGGCAGTTCCGGGCAAACTTTGTAATCTTCCGGTAGCACGTCCGGTACAAGGTCGACCTCCTGGAGAAGACGAGAGTCGTCAGTTTGCAAGATAGAAGCCGAGACAGCATTGCTGAGAGGAAACCGCCGGAATTCCTCTTATTCGCGAACTTCGTCTTGCGCGTGATGATTCCGAGAAGAAAGCTTCTCCAGCTGCAGGTACGTTTTAGAGATAAGAGAAACTGTGTCTCTACCTTAGCTAGGTCACGACTGAAAATCCGCACGCGGCGGACGTTGTTGTGGATGGTTGCATTTAGCTAACGTTGATAGGAAATGTTTCGTGGTGAATGAGGAGATACTGGATAAGAGATTGCATTATCATCGCCAGCCAACCCAGAGCAGTTCTTGTTTCGTATCGTATTCTAGATTGCGTGGTTTTATGTTTGCATATCTTGGATATTATATGTCTACGCACTATTAATTCGAAAAGTATATTTTCATATTTAGATTTATCAATTAAAAATATTGATCAAATGTAAAAACGTATAATTATTTTAATAACATAACTCTTTATAGCATTTTATATTTCTATATGTTTCCTTTTATTATAATATATTTTTATAATATCTTCGACATTAAATAACATCTAATAACATCAGTTAAGATTGTACTGTAAAAGTGCAGCGTTTAAAATATTTTCGTTTAAAATATCTTTGCAAAACAAACGCTTAATAATAAAAGATATTTCAATTTTAATGTTTTAAATCCAAACACATAATGTTTACTGAAAATATTTAAAAACTAAAACATCTTTAAACATTTAAAAACAGAGACAAAAATAAAAAGCATTTTAAAACAAAATATTTCTTTCACTTAAATCTGTTCAAAATTATCTATAATTAATCCATAAAATATCTATATACCAAAAAAATATATAAAATATATAAAAATATAAAATCTCTTACCAAATCATCGGCGCACTCGCAAATCGGGCAGTTATCCTTATCCGTTCGGAAGCCATGATAACATTTCATCTTGCAGTTATCCAGGGACATCTTACAAGACTCAGGATCAAAGGTGCTGTTCGTTGGCGGTGGGCAGTGAGGGCAACATTCACCCGGATCAGGTGGTATCGCGTTCTCGCAGGACTTGCACATGGTCGTTTGGCAGGACGCGATTCCATCCTCGTTGCAGACGCAAGTAATACAGTCGTTCTGTTTCCACTCTTCACCAAGTTTTCTCGAGACGCCTTCGTGAATGCAGTTCTGCGGTTTCTCTTCGGCTTTCGCCCAGGAAATCGGATCTAAAAAGGAAAAAACCAATAAGGTGGAAATTAGATAAAATCAGCATATATTGATGCTTTAAATTATTTTATATATATATATATATATTTTTTTTTATTTTTAACGATTAATCAAAGCACAATAGAAATAGTGGTAAAAAAATTTTTTTCATAAAACACTAAAATAAAAAATTATAATTTATGTGAATTCAATCTGCCATTAAAGAAGATTAGAAAATTTAGAAGATTTCTTATCGCAGTGTCATGTACATTGAAGTATATTACTTATAATATCGGATAAAAAAATATTTAAGAATATTTTTGATAGAACTATTAAGCAGCATTTCCAACATCATTCCCTCACACTGAGATTTGCGATACGCTAAAAAATATAGGAAATATTTTCTGAAGACAGTTTATAAATAACTCAGCACCGCCGCCGGGAAGTGTCGCCAAATATGATAGTTTACGAACAAGGGAAACTTGAGGGATTTGAGTGCCTCGGTGTTTCCGGAGTTTGCAAAGTCTTGCATAAAATTGTCGCGACGGATTTTTCAAACGTGCACCGAGCATCGTTGCACATATCGTTTACGCGATCTCGTTCTCGCTTCTCGCGTAAATCCAATCACGTTTTTAACAAATCCTTCAATCTTCGTGAACAAATTTCTTTGAAGCTCTACGAGGAATCGCTGCGTCATTAGCAAGGTAACTGGTTAATTATGTATATAAGATTACGAACATGTATAATAGTCGACCGCGCGTTTATCGCGCTTCTCTTCGACGATCAAGTCATTATTCGACGATTTTCCAGCGGTGACAAGCGCTCGTCCAGTAATCATCAAAGCGCCGGAAATTGCAGAATCTCATAAAGATTTGCAATCTCGCTTAATATTCATAGCGTCCTTAACGCGCGCGCAAAGTCGTCTTACGCCTGTCGTCGCCATTAATAACTCGCGAAAATCTGATTATCTACAACATTATTTCATTACACGGACGATCGAGGAGGATCGTATCGCTGCCATTAAAACTGTCGAGCGTTCTCGTGTAAAACAGCACGATTAAGCTTCCCGATGACTTCGCTATTCATGCGAGCGTCGTATTTCGCTTAGAGCGCTTTTATTTATGCGCGCTCTTCTCTTCTCCTCGCCCTCTTTACACAACTGAGTGCCTGTACGTGAAATTTACATGGCCAAGTACCGCTCGAACTGGATAGTAAACCCTTGGATGCTGATCTTTTCTGCATGAGACAATTCTATACGATGGTTTTAAGTCGCCACAGCGCCGGCACTGATAAGAGATGAACTTGTCGCGTCGAGAATAGCACGTGCATTATAAGTAAGCAAGTGCATTGTTCCATCTAGTAAAAAATTCAATTTTCTTGTGACACAACACGACTGTAAGTACAAGTATATATACTTTTGCGATCTCCGCCCACGTGTGTTGTGTGTTAATTAATCGAGAAATTCTCGATTATTATCTTGATTATTTCACTATTAGACGCCGATTTTAGCGCCTATTCATTTTCTGCATTGTGGAAAGAAGCATGTGGGTCAAGCGGGTGGGTCGACCGTGGATGAGGATGTATTATGTTCTATCCCCAGCCGTCTCATTTACGAGCGTTCATTCATAACGCCTCCCAAACTTTAAAGTGGCGCATTTCCATGAAAAATCGGCTCAGTAACGCAAAGAGGCAAAAACAATTTTCGAGAGCCTCCGCTGACGCGAGTAAGCTCGTAACTCCCCATTATTTCCTTGTCGCGATATACGTACGGACATACGTTCGCGTTGAAAGGGGAAAAATTTGCACGAATTTTTTTCATCGAATACATCGCTCGCTAGCTGGCTGGTTGGTTGTCGGTGGTCCCTCGCGTAATACATCTCTCCTGTTTCATGTATAGCTCACACCGCCGGAAAAAGCTAAATTCCTGAGCTTTTGTAAGAATTATGAAAGAGAAAATGTTCCCTTTATATGCCCGGAAAACATTTTTTTTCTATTCCATTATTCTGGATGTTTCATTATTCTTTGTAATCCGCATTGCGGCGAGAGGACGATATCGACCAAAATTGAAGGCGATAATAGAAGAGCGCTTTTGTAGAAAATATTAAAGATATAATCTTTCTCAGAGAACGGAAGGATCAAGAAGAGTGAAAAGAAAGATATGTTAAATGAAGAGTTGTAAGACCTATACGCTGCGAAACGAATATCCAACTCAATACCGTAAATCTTTACGAAAAATTACACTTGAATTAATATTCCAAGCAAATTGAACGGAAGCTAATTATGCGGGTAGAAAAATGTTTACGACGAATCAATTGCAAATATCGTTAATAGCTTCGATTAGGGCATTAAATCAGTCGCGAAGTAATTATTTTTATAATTAACATAATAAAATGTAATTAACATGTATATAACATACCCTTTTGCCGTGAAAATGCCGAGAGTGAGAGAACATCTATCTGTATAATTTAATCCGATTGTACCGCTATTTACCTCAACGTGGTATCAGGGTTTACGTCAATATTTATTATCGCGTGTACTTTTCGACGAAAGCGTATTAATTAAACGAGGCATCAACTATGTACGCGTGACCGATAATGCGGACTATGGGCTAATGAATATTGTTAACAAGGTAGAACGTTGTTTAACTGTCGCGAAGCTGTTTAAACACCGTCCTGTGCAATATAGAACTGAAATGAATTTAGCGTATGATGTATTGTAAAATGGTATTTAATTGCCGAGAATCCGATCGATGAAAAGAGATGCGATATCCGAGACTAATTTAATTGATCGAAATATGTATATTCATACGTACATATTTAAATAATCCATGTATTTAATTTTTTATTTCTTGACGCAATCGAATATTTTAATTATTCTACTCGCAAAAGCTGCTTAAAACTCAGTATTTATTGAGTGTGATATACCGGTGGCGCATTGATCATTTTCAAATGCGAAAATGACAAAGTACATTGAAAGTATAATAATTGAGTGGAATAAATCGATATCGTTAAGAGAACCAAGACGAAATAATCTCTTGTCCGCAATAAAAATGTTTCTAATATGACGATTTCTAGCTGATCGTACCATGATTCGTGGTGATAATAGTATTAAATTTTAAAACAGACATGGAGTACTATTAAATTTTAACACAGAGAAATATATATATATATATATATATA